AAAAAATTACCGAACGGGATAAACGTGCTTTCAAAGACAGGCATTTCATACACAAATGGTGAATGGAAACTTTTAACTGCTTTTGAGACAAATGATGAATAAATTTTGAGCTTTCACTGTAAATCAGGATTAAGTTGAACAGTAAGAAATACTAAAATGTAAACAGGCATTATGCTCTAAACAACGAGTTCACAATGAGCGGGCATTTCGGTTTTGCAGCAACGACAAAACCATCGAGGGAAATAACTGGTTCATGGTCCCAGTATAAGTCCGGACAAATTATTGCAATGTTGTTCGGAAAGATGTCAGAATTTTGTTTTGTCATTCGAGAAGCAGTAACAGCACAAAAAAATGAAAATAAAAATGAAAACGCTTTCAAAAATGTAAGCGATTGGTCAAAAAAGGTTCAGTATTACAACGAATGAGATTAATGTCCGTATCAAATAAGTATCATCTCTCTTCTCTTACTGTCTCTAAATTTTGAAAAAAAAGAACTAGATATTTTTTTTCGTTATTATTTTTATAAGGGTAAAAGCGAAAATGAAAATAAAGTAATTACGGTGATCAACCAAGAATCCTGCTAAAAACTATAAAATTTTAGCCATGCTGGACAAAGCCTATCCTGTTATGGCTCCTTGCAGAGAAACAATAACTCACTTTTTAACGGTAAAATCACTCCAGATCCACAGTTCAGGAAACTTTTTGCGTATTTTCAAAGTCTCTTGAGCACGAGGTGGAGCAGCCGTTGTAGGAGCGATAGGGTGTGGTACAGAGGTTGTAACTATCACATCGGTCGCTGAGAATCTCATTTGAATCCATGCCGTAGTCGTATACGCAAAAACTCCTCCCGTAGTAGCTATTAAAAGAAAACACTAATTGGACAACTTTAATGTTTGTCCAGTCCGCTGTTTAATGTAAGAGGTTTCATGTCGAAAATTGTTATTTTTTTCATTTATTTCGTTGCATAAAGCATTTCTATCAGCTGTACCTAACAGCTGTCAAACAGCGTCAATAATTTGGTTTTTTTCGCTTTTTCTGTGCAAAAATTTTTTGAAATATGCTACAGTTAAGATTTTTAGCATTCACAAGCACGTGACCGGCAAAATCAAAAATTTTCCAAATAAAAAAAGGAAAAAAAGGATATTAGATGAGCACAAACAATAAATAATACTGGTAAATAGACGAAGTAATTAGCAGTAAAAGTTATCAGCCGCCGACTAAAAAAAAAAAAAACATGCACTAATTCTTCGTTCACAGCATCAGCTTCACGACAAAAATGAGTCGATTTTGCAGGTGCGAAATGTGTACTCGTTGCTAACCTTACATAACAATAAGCTAAGCAAATTCAACGAATAACTGATGGAAAAGATCAAAATCATTTGAAATAAAAAACCATTGTCAAAGCTACTTCTTTTCTACTTAGTTCCAGTGAACAACCTGCCAAAACAACAGCTTGCATCGTTTTCTGCCGTTCAATTTTTTTTAAATCTTACAACGAATTTACATAAAAGTGTCATAAAACACCAAAAAAATGTCAAATTGATATCGAATAGCTCTAGTTCAGTTTAAATTGAAGAAGAAGGAGACAAGATAGAAAGTAAAGGTGTTATAAGTTTGAGGCTTAACATTCTTCATGGTACCAAAAAGTGCAGAATTTAATTTAGCCACCAGAGATTTGGCAGAGGAAAGACAGAGAAGATCGTGAATCTCCAGTATTAATAAAAATTAGTTTCCAAAGTAGTCTTACATATCATTAACTGTCTAAGAAATTCCCTGAGAAACTTAGAAAATTTACCTTCCGATTGCTCATAAACTACAAATGAATAAAAAGCGGATAATACAACTTTTACAATTGTACCAACAAAACTGTAATTCAGTAGAACTTCTCAGACAGCAAAAGTAGCTTAGTATGAGAAAAATCTTTAAAAAATTTTAGTCGCTGAAAACAGACTTTTTTTGCGTTCAAAATTATTTGTAGCGGAGACAACTAATGCAACGTACCAGCGCAACAAATAGCCTCTTTTTGAATGAGACTAATAAGTCAAAAAGAGAGCTTAAAATTAGCTAAAACAGACCCTCTTCCAGTTTCTGACATCCGACTATAAATTTGAAAGTAGAAAAGCACTGATCTTGATCCTATCTTTTTACCACCCAAAAAACATTTAATAAAAAAAAAAAAAGAAACAAAGAAAAAAAAACAAAATTTCAAATTAACAAACTAAAAAAAAAACTGGAGCGGACTTCTCAACTCACTCAGACGTATTAACAGCAGCCCAAATCCAAACTTCTGGAAACTTGGTGCGAACTTTGGCTTCAACAACAGCCCCACCGTCAGTAACCTCCACTGAGGATTTCGCATAAGCCACACTAAATTCAGGTGCAGCACCAACTGCCATATCGGCCAATTCCATGACCACTTCAAACCCTCAATGAGTTTCTACTGTATCAGACCACCTCAACAGTTTTTTTTTTTTTTTTTGACTTCTAACACTTCAAACAAAAGCAAAAAACGTTATAATTCTGAAAAGAGAAAAAAGAAGAAAAAGATTATTAAAAAATTAAGATGATATAGCGTGCATTTTTGGTGAACATTTTATTATTATGAGCAAAATTTATAATTTTAGATACCTAATGTAATAAAATTAAAAAAAACAAATAGGTATATAAATAAAAAACGAAAGAGCATACACCGGGAAAGATGTAATGTTTTATCAACGATGATAAAAAAAAAAAGAAGCAAAACTTTACAAATGAGTAATTAATATAGAAAAAAATTAAGGTTAGCATAATTAAAGTGGTATAAATTCAACACTGTTTAGCATTTAGACCATTCAGTGTTTGTTTTAAGCTAATGGATTTAGATCTAGTGCAATTAGTGTTGCTAGCGCTGAAACAGCCTTTTTAATAAGCAATATAGTTTATTGTGATCTTAGCTTGAAATAAACTCATCCCTGCAGATTTTTTGAAAAAAAAAA